ACTCCTGGGTTGGACCAGGAAGCACATCCTGCATAACAGCCCCTGTCGACCAGGCTTCATTCCATCCAAGCCATTTCCAGCCTCTAAAGCTAACGCATCCCACATCTCTTCTTGTCCAACCTTCGTGTTGTAGCTGACTTCAGTCAGGTCAGGATTTGTCAGTCACTAAACTGAATCAAAACTTGGCAGTCCTTAAAATCAAGATCTGCTGTTCCTTTCTCCTCTGGATCTCATCTCTCACAGGCAACACCCAACAGGCAGAAGCGGCCCTCTCTTTTTCTTCCACCCAGAAAGCTTAGTTCCTGTTTACACTGAGGGAGTCTGGCTTTCTGACATGCTACTCTGCGGAATTTGCCGACTCATGGTGAACCAGCAGAGAAAGTATATTATTCAAAGGTCACAACTACAGAGGAAACTGCTTTGCCTTTCCAGAGATAAGTGAACAAGCAAACTGTGGTACATGCAGACAGTGGAAGAGTAACACGGAGAAAATAGCCATGAGTCATCAAGTCACTGAAAAGCAGAGGGGGATTCAAAGTTTACAGTAATAAGGTGTGGATGCCTTTCTGGAAATGCTTTTTGTTTTCAGTGGTTGGGACATATTGAGAAAGAAATAGTTATGAGGAAGAAATACAGTCAGAAGCCAACTCCTAAAGTCTTGTCATTATACCCATAGCTTAGTACATCTATCAGTCCTCATCAGAGATGCTTCCGTATGCAGTAGATGGTGGTTAACACAGATTCAAAACTGGCCAATGTGCAGAGAATGAAAATGCAGTGTGGTGATGTATTGTGTCTCCCAATATACGGTGTCCCCCAGTAAAATTTACCTGAGAGATCAGGGAAATAAGAAAAGCCACAAGCTAACCTCACCTCACCAACACCTCAGTCTCCAAAGAGACTTACTTCCTGTCTACCCACACCTATATTCCTTTCTGTTCTACTCACTCATTTGCTCTCTCAGCCCAGCTACATCACTTGCTCTTCCTGCCCAGCTCTGTCACTTTCTGTCTGTCTGTACAGACCTCCAGACCTCTATGGTTAGTGCTGGGATTAAAGGCGTGTGTCACCACATACGCTTGCTTGGCTCTGTTCCCCAGTGTGACTTTGAACTCACAGAGACCTGGATAGATCCCTGCCTCCTGAATGATAGGATTAGGGGTTTGTGCTACCATTGCCTGACTCCTGTGTTTATTTATAGTGGCTGGCTTTTTCTTCTGATCCTCAGATAAATTTTTATTGGGGGACACAATACATCACCACAATGCAGAATGCTCATTTCCAGGTGGGGCTTCTGTATCACACCCCTCTTTTAAGGCTCAGAGATTGTCAAGGAGTGGGGCATAAAAACTATAAGAGCCAGAAGGAAGTCAATGATTATAGGAAAAGCATTTTCTGGGCATGACAGGGCATTAACACATGTCAACTCCCAGTGACTGTGCCTGCATGAATTAGACATGCACAAGATCAAACCAGAAAAAACAAACAAACAAACAAACAAAAAACCTCAGCACAGGGAATGTTAATCCCACTGACCGAGAAATAGACTACTATCACAGTTTAAAGCCAAATTTAAAGCAAGCTTTAATTAAATACTGGCCAGGTGGATGAACTCTGATCAGGTTCATATCCAGGTTCCAGGGAAATGGCTCAAATCACAGTTTGTAGCAACTTAAGAAGGAAAACCCATAATTCATTGCCTTTACCATCAGGTCCAATCAGGGGCAAGCATACACCCTGATGTACCTCCAGCCTGTGAACCTCCCATCGGTAAGTGATCAAGGCATCCAGTGTAGATAGGTCAAACAAACTTGTTTAGGGGAATGAAAAACATGTGGCTTGTTATCTCCCACAAACAATAGCCTCCAGCATGTCAGGAACTATCTGTCCTTGGGCAAGGGGCTTGCAGATCAGAGACATTTTTGTTTGATGGATCTCTTAGGCATTGTAATTAAAACTTAAAATGTAACTTTGGCTCTTACAGTAGTCACAAAGTCCTACTCCTGGCTGAGGAGCTATTGGCAATTGATAGCTGTTTGAAGAAGGAAAGTCTGTTTTCTTCATGGATACTACCTCTCAGAGCTTCCCATGCTCCAGTCCATGGCCCTACATCCGCAAACATACCGGCAGCACTCAGTGGTATCCGTGGTTTGGGGTTGGTTTGTTTGTTTTTTAAAGAACTCATAAAATTAGGAAGGAGTAGTGGTGGGGATGGGTAGGGAAGGCATTGGAGGGCTGGGAATGCGGAGTAGACTTGATCCAAACAAATCATGTGCATGTATAAAATTCTCAAGCAATAATTTAAAAAAGAAATAAAATCAAGCATAACCCATGCTAGGAATCCCAGCATTCAGGGGCTGGAGGCAGGAGGATGAGTGGATAAAGGCCAACCTTGGCTACACAGTGAGTTAGAGGACTGTCTTCCACATTTCTCATAAAGGGGGGAGGGGCAGTAATAGGGATTATCTAAAATGGTAGGGTGCTTGAGGAGTATGCACAAATCCCTGAGTTTGATTATTAGTACTATTAAGTCTCAAACCCTGGAACAAATGGCTAAGGTGTCTATTTAACATATCAAAGCAGACCAGACTACCAGGTTCTCCCAGCATCCCTCAGTCCCTACCTGTTACAGGGTATGGGTGACATACCCCGCACTCTCTAGCCCAGGAGTTAGGCTGCTCCCTAACCCCCCTCCCCCTTACCTCCCCCACTCCCCCGCTGCCCTTCTCTATATGACCCAACCATTTTGGTTATCTTGTCTTCTTTTCATCTACCCTTTACCCTCCTGGACTTTTGGTCTGTCACCTTTCCTCTCTCCCTGTAGAGGGGCCCCAGAACAGCTTGACCACACAGCTGCCATGGCAGGCTTAGAGGCCCAGACACAGCTTCTGTGACAGACTTACTGGTAGGCAACACCAAGACCTAGGAAAAGCCAGAAGCTGATACCACCCAGGGAGAGCCTACACCTGACATCCCAAACATTCCAACCATTACATAAGGTGGCCAGATGTCCTTGAGTCTAGCACACACCTATTTTCTGTTTTACAGATACCCCTAGACAAATGTCAGCCAATCAGGGTCCTGAACCCTGGAAATCCCCTCACCCCATCCTCTGCTATGATAAAAAACTCTGCCCCATCTGAGCTCAGGGCTCTCTGCTCTCACCTCTGCATAGTCAGACAGAGACCAAGCTCAGAGCTTGAAAATAAAGGCTCTTTGCTTTTACATATGGGATTCGGTCTCTGTGGTGGTCTTTTGGGGGTCCTCACGATCTGGGCATAACAATCTCCTCCCCCCCCCTCTCCTTTCAGGGTCATGTCTAATCTGGACTCTCCCAGATGTCTCTCCCTCTGGCTGTGCTCTCCCTTTTATCTATAATAGACTTTCTCTTTCACTATACCTAGAAGCAGTCCTGTCCTTTCCTTTTTCTTTCTTTCTTTCTTTCTTTCTTTCTTTCTTTCTTTCTTTCTTTCTTTCTTTCTTTCTTTCTTTCTTCCTTTCTTCCTTTCTTCATTCATATGGCATTGAAAACCAGGAGTGGCATAACTGAGTTCCCTCCCAAGGAACTTGGACACTCTGAACCATGCTACTAATCTGACTCTCTTAAGGTATGTGTGGATCATTTGTTTCTGCTGGATTTGGCCACCCACCAAATTTGATTCTAAAGTCTGCCTGTTCTACTTTCCCAGGCTCTGTCCTTGAGCTACCATGGAGGCTGGCTGGCTTAGCACGTTCACATTGACCTATGCACGTAGCTATAAGTTGGTGAGGGGTCCCAGACAGTAAACAACTGGTTGAACCTTGAGCAGTCAGAGTACGTGCAGGGGGGTTGGAGGGTGTCTTGTGTCTTACGTCATCTGTGTGCTACAGGATTGTGCAGATGCACGCAGCGGTCACACAATCAGCGCATGTGTAGCATACCTTGCAAGCCTGCCTGCGCATGTGCACAGGAATCCTTAAAAAGCTGGACACAGACTCCTCCTCTCTCTCCTCTGCTCTTTTCCCCCACTATCTCTCCCTCTCCCTCTTTCTCTCTACATGTGCTTCTTCCCCAGGCCTGGTTCTTTTGTTCCTCCCCTCCTCCTAATAAAGCTCTCATACCGGGTTTTGTCGTGGCTCATGCCTCATGACCTTTCTGCACGGTAACCAGCGCCGCTTATCATTTTTTTAAAACAACACTGACCTATGAATAGAGCAGAATATCATTACTTATCATTTCATAGACTTTTTCCCCAGTTGTGTTTCATTCTATCCTTGGTCTCCGAGCTGTCCAGCCTCTGGTTTCTGGCCATCCAAGCAGTGTCAGACATGGGCTCCCTCTCCTGGTGTGGGACTCAAGTTGGACCAGTCATTGGTTGGCCACTCCCACAAGTTCTGTACCACCATTACCCCAGCCCATCTTGGAGGCAGGACAGATTATAGGTTTTGTGGCTGTGTTGGTGTCCCAGTTTCACTGCTGGAAGACTTGCCTGGTTGTAGAAGATGGCCAGTTGAGGCCCCGTGTCCCCCATTACTAGGAGTCTTCACTAGGGTCACTCTCAAATATTTCAGGGGGTTTCTGTTGCACTAGGTTTCCGCATGCCCCCCAATTCCAGTCATCTCTCCCAGTACTTTCTCCTTCCATTGCCTCCCACCCCAACTCCCTCATGTTCTCATCCCCCTCACCCCCAGTACACCCACAAAACCTATTCTATTTCCCCTTCCCAGGAAGATCCATGTGTCTACCCTTGAGTCCTCCTTATTACTTAGCCTCTCTGGGTCTGTGGATTGTAGCATGATTACCCTTTACTTAGCAGCTAAGTCCACTTATAAGTGAGTATATACCATGTTTGTCTTTCTGGGTCTGAGTTACTTCACTCAGAATAATTTTTTTCTAGTTCCATCCATTTCCTGAAAATTTCATGATGTCGTTATTTTTAATAGGTGAGTAATAGTCCCTTGTATAAATGTACCATATTTTTTTGATCCATTCTTCAGTTGAGGGACATCTAGATTGTTTCCAGTTTCTGGCTATTATGAATAAAGCTGCAGTGAACATAATTGAGCAAGTGTCTTTGTGGTAGGATGGAGTATACCACAAGGTATATGCCCAGGAGTGGTATAGCTGGATCTTGAGGTAGATTGATTCTCAATTTTCGCTTACAGAAATTTTTGCTCAACAATCTGGCAGAATTGCATGAATACAAATTAAATTACTGGTATTTGCAGAACCAGAGCCTGGCACAAAGGCTACCATGACCTTACATTAAAAAATCTTTCCACAATGTCATCTGTCAGTTTACTCTAGAACAGACATCCTTCAGTGGCCCATGACAGTTGTTTCAAAATAGTTACTTTAAGATATCTCAGTTTGCCTTGACATTTTTCCTTGCCTCAAATGGCTTGAACACCCACTCAGTTCACTAGAGTTAGATCCACTCCTATGGCAGTGTCTCTTTCCTAATAAACTTGCCAATTCATCCTGGAGGACCTTTCACCCATGTTGTTTAGGTTCACAAACCTCTGAGCTGCACTCCACAGTAAATCATGCATGCTGCACCAGGGAGACTTTGCAATGTACAAAGTTTAATCTTTGTTCATGCTAATCAGTCCTACAACGATCTCTGAATGAGTATCCTGTTTGTGTGCCCCACCCCTTGACTGTGGCTGCTTGCCAATGCAGTAAGAGCCCGCCTCCTTATCCAGGACATAAAAACTCCTCCAGCCTCCTTATAGAGGAAGCAGGCATTCATTTGCTCTCTCAGAAAAATCTCTGCAGCAACCATGGCCACCTTCGTGGAGCTCAGTACCAAAGCCAAGATGCCCATTGTGGGCCTGGGCACCTGGAAGGTGAGTGTGCAGTCTTGGGCCATCTGCTTCTCTTGAGGGGGGACCTCGGCATTTTCCCTCATTGCCCAGCATCCGCTTTACAGTGAAGGAAGCCCAGAGCTGGCCCCCAGTGTCCTTTCATTTGGGACTTCTTTGGGTTGCAAAGTTCCAAGACGAGCCTTTCTCTGAAATGAGGCTAGCTTCCCTGCTTTTTGTACTGTACTTTGGGGAGAAGACTGTTTTCAGAGCCATTGTTTTCTTAGACGCTTCTCGTTCTCAGACTCTCTGTTGGTTTGCTACTGGCTGAGTGACTGAGAGAGAGGAGAGAGTTCTGAATGACCCTTCTCCCTCTCCTGCTCATGATGTAAGGCTCTATGCCAGCATCCCAGTTGCCTGGGAGTCTGGGGGAGAGACAGAGTATCAGAGCCCAGCCCAGGCTACTGAACCCCTGCCCTTTACCGAGACTCCATGTGGTTTCCTTTACGGAGACTCCGTGTGGTTTCCTTTACCGAGACTCCGTGTGGTTCCCTGACACAGTGAACTCTGAGCAGCATGAGCACTACAGAACCTGGGCTGGAGTCAGGTCAGGTCCGCCCTGGGTGTGTTAATCTCCTGGCAAGTTGCTCCATGGCCCATCCCAGTGCTCAGTGAAGCAGATTTCCCAGCCTCTCTTGGGACAAGTCTGGCATTGTTCCATCTTCTAACTCTGCCTGTCTGCTCAGTGGTAACATGACAATAGCCAGCTTGTTTACAGACCCGTTTTCAATTTGCAGTTTGACTTTTTGAGACAGGGTCTCACTCTGACTGGCCTCGAGGGAACTTGGAGTAACCCTCCTGCCTCAGCTTCATGAACACTGGGATTACAGGTGTAAACCTTCATCCCTGGATCATGAGCTGTTTGGGAACCCTTCTCTCCTGTCTCAGAGACTCATCTCAGTCTTCCTCCTCAGTTTCTCTTTCTTCTTTGCACAGAGGGTAGGATCCCTCTTTGTAATTGGTGCTGGATTGAAATCTTCCTAGAACAGTGAGACTTGCAACCAAATTAGAAATTTCACATTCCATTAAGGTAACAAATAACCATAAATCTCCAGGGAATCTACTCACTCTGGATAAATTCACAGTAGTTCAACTTTCAGAATTTCAAAAGCAGATGTAAATATCGTAAAGGAGTTGTTTTCAAGGTAAGGAGATGGTGCTGTGGAACAATATTTCTGTACACTGTGAAGATGTGTTGCTCTCACTGTTAATAAAAAGCTCATCGGTAGATGGCTAGGCAGGAATTTGGGGGCAGAGAGAATGCTGGGAGGAAGAATAGAAATGGGTTAATTTAAGTTGTAAGAGCTGCCTGGAGACAAGCCTAAGCTATCAGCCAAGTTAATTATTAAAACTTATTATTAATAATACCTTCCTGTGTGGTTGTTTGGGAGCAGACAGAAACTTCCACCTACAAGATGGTGCTGCTGTAAGGACTCTGCTCATCAGTGGGCATGCAGGAGGGCGGGGCCTTGGGCCCAACCCCAGAGCTTTTGAGTTTCTGGCAATTCCTTGTTCACATGATGGTGTAACTGTTGATCTCTGCTTAATGTGCTTCTCAAAGTTTGAAACTTTGAGAATGTTTAGATTTTGTGAGAGATAAAATGTTATTTTTATTGTTTGAGAGTGTGTTAGGTATCCCAGGTTGGCCTATTGCTCATTATGTGGCTGAGACTGGCCTTGAACTCATGATTCTCCTACCCTCTACCTCCCAAATACTAACATTACAAACATGGGCTTCCACCTCCAGCAGATGTTCTTTTGTTTGGAGTGAAATGGTAATGTGCCCCAGGCTGGCCTCAGGGTCAGGACCCTGCTGCCTCTGTGCCTCTCATAGTGGGATCACAGGCATGTAGCCCTATACTCTGCAGAGAGATAAGTGCTGAGTGCTACTTTTCTTACACTAATGTCTGGCTTGGCTAGGTTAGATCACAAGGTGACGTTTCAAATGTTCTTTTCTCTTCGATTTTCTTATTGGTCGGGGGAAAAATCAGTTATTATAGTTTCCTATTGTTCCTTTTCTGAAACATTGAGCACATATTGCATCCACCGAGCCTTACTAAGTGCAGGTGATGTGCTAAAAACTTCACATTCTTGTGGCAAACAAGCAACACAAAGGTCTCATGAGGCAGGGCTGTTATTGTTGTTATAATTCGTTGTCAAGGTTCAGAGAAATTGAGGAATCTGCTCAGCCTCATACTCCACCATGGCAGAGCAAATTAGCTTGTAATGACCATTTTGAGGTCCTTCTCTCCGAAGTCTGAAAATTCCTCTTGGTCTCTTCAGAATCTAGTTTTCAGACTGACCTTGGGCAAGTTGCAAGGAGAGCCATCTGTCACTCTCAGAAACTGGAGGGACTTCAAGATCAACCTGGATTAGAGGACAACTAATTATTGACTAGACTGGGACATGGGTGATAATATTACAATGACATGTGTATTAAGATGCCATGATGAAACCCATCACTTATATGATAACCCCAAAATTGAAGGAAATAAAAAAAAATTCTTTTTTTCTTTTGCTTTGAAAAGTTTCCCAATGTATGTTTTCCTCTCCCGTGTCTACTTGGATTAAAGATCCCAGCAAGGCTATGGTTTTGAGAATCTGGTCTATGTGGAGCCTTTAAGAGGGGGCCTTGGGAGTGTCTAACTGTCTTTTCTATTCTCTTTTAGTCTCCACCAGGCAAAGTCAAGGAAGCTGTGAAGGCCGCCATTGATGCTGGATATCGCCACATTGACTGTGCCTATGCCTATCAGAATGAGAGTGAAGTGGGAGAAGCCATCCAAGAGAAGATCAAAGAGAAGGTTGTGAAGCGGGAGGACCTCTTCATTGTCAGCAAGGTACAATGGCCCACAGTGGATTGTCAGGCCCTTATCATGAGCTACTGTAGGTCACAGGCTTATGCAGTGAGAACTCAAATGTCATTTACGAGGTCAACCCAGAAGAATCAAGAATTCTGATGGAGGATTAAAGCAAAACACAAAGAATTTTGAAATTATTGCCTTTTGAATGAATTGGCTGTTTCTTGTAGATTTCTTGTGCAATTACAACAATGATATCTTCCCATTAACAAACATTTTCATGAAATGTCTATATGTAATCACATGATTGCATCTCAATCTTATAGGCACACATATATCTGTGGATGGTCAGGAAGATGACTTTTCATTTAACTGTACAATTTTGATATGTTGAAAATATACTAGGATATGCTTCATAACTAGATCTATTGTCCCATGAGACTGTAGACACTTAAAGCTTACCTTGTTCCTTTTACTCACACTAACAAAAATAACAATCTCACCTCAGTCTAACACAAACTCCACACATTTAGTTCATTTTTACCTCAGAGCAAGTTCAAACTAGACTAAAGGCATTTGTAAATAGATCATGAGTTTAAAACTTTACAGTTATGCACAGGTCAGGGTCACAGGTGTCTACCAAGATTACTAACACAAAGCGCCCTAAGAAAAGCATGCCAATTCTTTGATTGCCAAGTCTGCTGACAATAGACTTGTAATGTCTCAAGGTTTGTCTCATTTGGGCACTATGGCTTCCTCTCTTACTCCCAAAACCTTGAAAATGTGTGTTACCATGGTAAATGGCTTGGCTCCTTATCCCTTACCCTATGAATGTACTTTTGACCAATGAGAGGCAACTCTTTTACTCTTTCTATTGTTTGGAGCCTCCTGTGAAAGAAGACTTATTACGCTAGATGAGAGGAAGCAGAAAGATGAGAACAGAGAAATAGAGCTAAAAAATTATAGACAATTAGGCCAAGAAAATTAGGAGAAGAGCAAAAGAATAAGGTGACATGCATAGAAGGATCACAGTGTGAGTGGATCCATTCCTTCGCCGTTAGTCTTTCCCTCACTTACTATAGTGTCTCCTTTGGACCCTGAGAGGAGGTCTTGAAGGCTGGCCCTTAAAAGCCTCCATTAGTGGATATGACTTCAAGGCAGGTACAAGTCTCTGGGTATGGCCAGCTTCAAGAGCTTATCAGCTAATCATATGCCCTTGTATGTCTCCTAGACCTTTTCCCCTGCCTCCTTTATATATCTGGGTAGATTTCCACACACACAAACATCCACTCTTGGAGTGGCCACACTTATATCTACTCATTGTCATTCATCACAGGGCCTGGCCAGCCTGGGGACAAGGAAGTACTAAAAGGGCCAACGGCTTCTAATTGCGTCCTAATGCTTGAATTTTAAGAGCAAACAACAACTCATGCCCTCTGAGAAATGAGAGCCAAGGCAGGGCATAACACAGGAATATAAATCTTAGTCAACAGCCAACTGTGTTAAATGACCAAAGAAACAAACAGAATATCAAGAGCATAGAAGAACCCTTAGGAAATGACCTTGACTTGATGAGAACTGATGACCTACTTGATAAGTTTCAAATCCCAGACAAACAGCTGAGGTGTTTTATATTTAATATATCAAAAGGGGCCCTACCTGTTACAGGGTATGACTAGCATACCCCACCCTCTATCCTGAACTCTCCAGCCCAGGGGCTGGGCTGCCCATTCCTTAGAGACATTATATAATGTCTATATAATCCAGACATTTTGATTACCTGCCCCTTTTGTACCTTTGGCCTCCAGGCTGCTGGACCATATTCCCCCCTTTCCCTCACCACCTCCCATGGCCCAGCTCAGTCTGGTCATGTCCATTCTGGACTATTCCAGATGTCCCTGCCTCTACCTATGCTCCCCCTTTTATCTACAATAAACTTTCTCTTCCACCATACCTAAGAGTGGTCATGTCCTTTCCTTTCCTTTTTAGTTTCTTTTTTTCCCATTCACTACTGGGTTGCATTACTTAACTAATTTTATTATAAATGCATGGCCTGTCCTGGGGTTTACAAATCTCAAAGCAGGGAGGGTGACTGCAGTGTGGCCCTTTCTCTCCCTAGTCCTAATGCCCCCTTGTCACCTGCAGCTGTGGCCCACCTTCTTTGAGAAAAGCCTGGTGAAGAAATGCTTTCAGAAAACCCTCACGGATCTGAAACTGGACTATCTGGACCTGTACCTAGTGCACTGGCCGCAGGGATTCCAGGTTTGAGCTGCTCTTTGCCTCATCTCTACTTTCTGGGAGTTGCCACAAAGTGGCTATGGTGCCAAGACTGTGACTCTGGGGAGGGATGAAGCAGGAGATCTTTTTCAAAATTTAATTTTGTCATGAGTGTTTATTATGAGCGTATGCATGTTTTGTCTACATGTATGTATGTGTACCATGTGCATGCTGGGTGCCTGTGGGGGTCAGAAGAGAGCATGGGATCCCTGGGACCTGGAGTTGTGGATGGTTGTGAACCACCACATGGGTGCTGGGGACCAAACCCAGGTCCTTTGCAAGAGTAACAAGTGCTCTTATTTGCTGAGCCATCTCTCTGGTCCCCAGAAGATCATGCACAGAGCAAAAAAGGACCCAGTTGTAGCGTGGAGGCTGAGACAACAGGTGGTATTTGGTGAGCTTCATGCTTGGTTTTATGCAACTGTGTTGGAAAGAAACAGTAATTTCTGCCAGCTCAGACAAGCTCAAATGACCAGTCACCTTCCTCTTGAATCCATGCCCAGGAGTGCCCTGGGTAGGACATCTTGGGATAATTTTGCATAAGTCCCTAGAAATCAAAGTATGCCCAGGGAGTGACCTCCAAGTGTGGTGAGATTGGCAGTTAGTTAGTCAAGCCCGAAGAACAACTCCGTAGTGTCTGGGGCTCTGCTCCCCAGAACTGGAGGGTTGTGAGTTCTCCTTCTGTTGCCCTCAGGAACAGCTGTGGTGATAGTGGCCTAGTCTCCAACACTCAAGCCTTCCGAAGGTGGCAAAGGCAGAAGCTGGCTACCCACTTCCCCAGATAACCACACCCTTCTGATAGGACTTTTGTCTAGTGACCTTGACATTAAAGTTTCTATTGGTTAATTTACGGGATGATAATGATGGCTTCTATAATACACTAATGTATCTGGAGCCTATCCAGTATTGCCAGAAATAGAGGACTCACATCCTATGGTGGACTGATACAGAAATTTGATTGAGGATTACTGTTTTTATGTGAGCTCTCCAGAGTTTGACCAAATGTTGTGCAGGCAGGCATGGGTATTTCTTTTTTTTTTTTTTTTTTTTTTTTTGGTTTTTCGAGACAGGGTTTCTCTGTGTAGCTTTGCGCCTTTCCTGGAACTCACTTGGTAGCCCAGGCTGGCCTCGAACTCACAGAGATCCGCCTGGCTCTGCCTCCCGAGTGCTGGGATTAAAGGCGTGCGCCACCACCTCCCGGCCTATTTCTTAGTGCACTGTTCTGAGACATCTCTTCACAGGACCAGGTATCTAAATGCAGATTCCAGTGAGCTTTTTGTTTTTATTTACAGGCTGCGAGTGAGCTATTCCCCACAGACAATAATGGCAAACTTCTCATGAGTAAATCCACATTCTTGGATGCCTGGGAGGTAGGTTCCAACTTGTTTCCAGGGTGCTCAGAGTTAAAGTCTTCTGTCAGGGCCCCTTGAGACTCTGCCCTGATGTGAAAAGGCTCGAATGTTCTGTATATAACTTCAGGATTATTATTCTCCAGTTCTCCCTCTCCACTTTAAAGTGATGTATGTGCAGGCACTTGTGAAAGTCAGAGGACAGAAGTAGGTTGTTTTCCTTCTAAGATGTAGGTTCCAGAGATAGAGAGAGAGACTGTCAAGCTTGTAACCAAGGACCTTTACCAACCGAGACATTTCCCTGGTCCATGTCTTGCTGCCAGTCAGAGGCTCTGATAGAAACCAACAGGACTGAGTACGTCAGCTGTGTGGCAGTTCTGTGGACCTGCAACAAATCTAATAGAAACCTCAGGGAACAGAATTCAAAAGAGGGAAAGAGAAATGAATGTAAGGAGGGCAAGATGGATCATACAACCTAACCAAACCTGACCCAGGACACAGAAGAACATTCACAGTATCTCACTGCCCACTGGATTTTCTTGTCTCATCAACATCCAGCTGCCCCGCCTAGAAAAATCTGTCCACATCCATGCTTTGGTTTTCAACTCTGTACACTAAATCTCCAGAGGAGTTCAGAACATCCTAATGCCCATGTTGCGTTCCAGAGAACTCCTCAGAAGCCAAGGTGTGGAACCTAGACATGCATTTCTGTAGAGCTTTCAGCGTGTTCCAAGTTGTAGGCAAAGACGAGACACCATGTGTCAGCTGAACACACCCTGCTTGTCCCTGCCTCTAAGCCCTAGCTCCTCCTTCCCTGAATCTCTTCACGATTTTACCACCTTTCTTCATGTGCCGTTTCATTTTCGGCCCCAATTTAAACTCTCTTCCTAATGTCTCCCCTGGGATCAGATGATTTCCTCCTCATCTTCCTCATCCGATGCTATCTGAACTGCCAAATAAGCTGAGGTTCCCAGTACTGCGGTGATGGCTCAGTGACTGGATCCCTAACACTTGAACTGGGCTGTAAGAATCCCAAGCAGCAAGCACATTGTATATGTTCACATTCCTGAAGCAGATTATAAACAGGAACTTAGAATGAACGAATTATATATTCATTTTCAATGTAAGGCTGCCAGTATCAGCTGGATAATTATCTTTGGAAAAGTTCAGAACAAGCTAATTGTATTTAGATAATAAATAAACCTCACATCCTTAGGTTGATGCAATTTAGGTTGGACAAAAGGCCTCTGGGACAGATGCCAGGCCATCCAAGTCCAGGCTGGGTACCTTGCCAGGGCCATATATCGGCAAGGCATTCCTTACTACACATTTATAATCACAGCTATGTTAGAGGCTTGCAGAGATCCTATCTCAAAACTGAAAAATGGAAAGGGCATGGAGCTAGAGATGAAGCTCAGAGGTAGATGGCCTGTCTAGCACAGGAGCGGTCATAGATTCAGTCCCTAATACCACAAAACGAAAAACCAAAAAAGAGATCATAGAAATGATTCCTTTCTTCACAGATAAGCCATTTCCTGGGTAACTCATGTCACTCTGTTTGGGTCACTCTGGCATAAGAGCAGACAGCAAATAAAATATTCTCTTTTTCTTCTTGGTTATAGCTGTGCTGGGGAAGGGTAGAATGGCTGGAACCAGCCATACGGGCACCACAGTCTAGATGGAAATCCCCTTTAGGGCTTCACTTGACCTTTCCATGCAGAAGCCATTCCTCCCATCCAAGGACTAAGCAAACCCAACATCCCTGTATCCTCCTACAATCATCTAAATGGTCTTCCTTATTGTGACAGGGCATGGAGGAACTGGTGGACCAGGGGCTGGTGAAAGCCCTGGGCATCTCCAACTTCAACCACGTGCAGATTGAAAGACTCCTGAGCAAGCCTGGACTGAAACATAAGCCAGTGACCAACCAGGTAAATTCTCTTTGGTGAAGGGTCTTGCTCTGTGACTGCTTCCACACTGGGAGGCAATTTCCATACTATCTACTGAGTCTCATCTCTGAGGTCTGTGTTCAGGATGCTCAAGGAGGTGGGAGGCAGATCTCTGGGTCCAGTTTGTAGCACATCTACCCATGAGTTGCGTTTGGTCTTTGTCTTTCCTTATGTGGAAAAGTGCTTTTGACCACCCAGAAAGCAGGACTGCACCTCTGATGATGGGGATGTTTTCTCTTGCAGATTGAGTGCCATCCATACCTCACCCAGGAGAAACTGATCCAGTTTTGTCACTCCAAGGGCATTGGCATCACAGCATACAGCCCGCTGGGCTCCCCAGACAGACCTTAGTAAGGCTTCAGAGTGGTAGCTCATTTATTACTCTTAAAATTAGGATTCCATAATTGGTTAATACTACAAATTTTCAAGTCACATGGGAAAATGTATTGATGACAAAGTGTTTTTAAAATGGTAGTATGTCAGGTTCCCCAAAAATACCCCATTTCTGCCATCCATTTCTGGGGCGGTCTTCTCAAATTACTAAGCATTAGACATACGCATGAACCCAGGGGAAAGACACAAAATTTTCAGATCACGCCACCCGCCTTGCAGCAGAGGGAAAAGGCTGCAATGCTCAGCCCTGGCACGGACTTGGAACTGATGCTCACTGGCAGGTAGCCATGGTGCTTTTCACTCCAGCCATATTTCTTCCTCTAGTGCCAAGCCAGACGACCCCGTAGTACTGGAGATTCCCAAGATCAAGGAGATCGCTGCCAAGCACAAGAAAACGGCAGCTCAGGTAAAGCAGAGTGTTTTTTCCTTTCCCCCAGCAATCCACTCATGGAGTCATGGAGTGAGCTGTGTTGCTTGCTTTTAATCCCTTGGGGAGGGACAAGTGGGAATTGTAACCCATTGGAAGTTTCGGAAAACACGACCAGTATCATTGAAGCAAGGACTGCCTCTGTCCATCAGCTTCCTGCCAAGCCCTCGGGTTTGTGGTTCAGGTGCCAATTGTGTAGGGTCTCAGCCTTACGACCGCAGGCTGTCCTCCTCATTCCTAACTAGGAAAATCATAAGGTTGTTTCCTGGATCAAGGGACATAGGGAGGGAACTGGCGAATGTCCCTAGTAGTGACGTGCCTTGTTAATAGTAATTGCTGCTGTTGAACCATAGGGAACTACTTAGTCGCCATTTCACCAGAAGGAGGAGTTCTTGTAGATAAATGGACACGTGCCTTCTCTTCCTCATGCACAGGTTCTGATTCGGTTCCATATCCAAAGGAATGTGGTGGTGATTCCCAAGTCTGTGACACCCTCACGCATACGTGAGAACTTTCAGGTAAGATGCGGTTGATTAGCTGATATTTTTCAGTGGAACAGATGATGGGAGGGAAGGAGGGTCCCTGTCCTTCAGCATCTCATCCCATTCCTTCATTGCCGGCGTGTCTTCCCTTGTTCCAAGGACTTTATCAACTCCTAGGCCAGAGAGCTGGCCTCAACAGGGCTGGATGATCACTAGTGGGTTGTGGATGGACTGGGGCAGGTACCAGCAAAGCCTTGTCAGGACTGATCACAGCTGTCCCTTACACCACTGAGCAGACCAGTGCAAACCACTGAGCTCTTAGACCACAGGCCGATCACTGTCCTGGCCAACTGTGTGCTGTCTTTGTCCTCTCACCCACGTTTTGTAGACAGATGTACTGGACTGAAAAGCTGTCCTTCTAAAATACCTTTCAGGAATCATAGTCATTGTGCACACTCAGCACACCTACAAGCCAAATCTCTTCCTGCTCAGAACACTAAATTCTGTAGTTTACTCTCAATTTAGAGAATAATGTGTTTGCCATGGACATATTAGGGGAAATGCCTAGAACCTCATGTCCCACCAACACTTTCCTGGCTAAGGATGTGTTTGGAACTTTCTAGGTCTTTGATTTCCAGTTGAGTGACGAGGAGATGGCCACCATTCTCAGCTTCAACAAAAACTGGAGGGCCTGTGGCGTGTTTGCGTAAGTGGCACCAAGTTAAGTAGGAGGCTGAGCAGGCCTTTGTCTAATGTTGTGAAGGGTTAGTGGGAAGGAACAGAAGGAAAAGGTTAGCCTGAGGGGCTGGGGGATGACCTTTGTCTTCAAATACTATTTTAAGGCTCTTCTGAAAAGTGAGCGTCTGAGTCCAGGGGAATCACCAGGAGTAGAGACATTGTTATGTGATGCTCATTTTCTGAAACTTACACACAGAGCTAGGATTTTAAAGAAAGGAGTTGTCACTATTATGTGGGAGTCAAAAGTTCTCATTCCCTCCCCATTCACACAGTAACTTACTTCAATGTGCTATGGCCAGAAATGGTCTAGATATTCAGGACATCACACTACAAAATTCCCGTTTCCATCTTATATTCTACAGAGGGAAAGGTGAGCTAACTCTAACTATGTACATCAGAGAGTAACAAATGCCACAGAGAAAAACAAAGTAGGGCAAAAGGCACAGGATGTAGTGAGCCCTGTGTGATAGATACTTTAATGCATGAGTGTCTAGGGGAGGCTTTGTTGATAAAGTGACAGTTGAAGAGGGTGAAGGATGAGTAACATGGATATTAAGGAAATAGCATTCTTGACAGTCATAGCAACTATTGCAAATGCCTTGATGCAACAGGTTCAGAGCACTTGAGAAAGGATGCTATTGAGAATATAGTGCAATGAGTGGGTGTCATTGTAAGAAAATAGGAAGTTGGAGACAACTTCATGTTAAGATCATGCAGGTGATATAGACTTGTTTTTTTTTTTTTTTTTTTTTTTGGTTTTTTTTTTTGAGACAGGGTTTCTCTGTGTAGCTTTGCGCCTTTCCTGGAACTCACTTGGTAGCCCAGGCTGGCCTCGAACTCACAGAGATCTGCCTGGCTCTGCCTCTCGAGTGCTGGGATTAAAGGCGTGCGCCACCACCGCCCGGCGTGATATAGACTTGTATAGGCCTTTGCTTATTAGGTCTAAAGAAGGAATAAGCCATGAGGGAATTTTGAGCAGAGGCTGGCATAATGTGACATGCCTTAAAAGATTCACAATGACTTGTGCTTTGAGAGACTATTACAATAACCCGTGGGAAAGATGATAGTCATTGGACCTGGACCATGGTGTCTGGGAAGAAATGAGGAAGATCAAAATCTAGATAAATGGGAACACATAGTCAATTAAATTTGCCAAAAGCATTTAACAGCTCAATATGTTTTTATTTCTTTGTTTTGTTTTTGCTTGAACAACTCAAGTCCAGAATTATCATTTGGAGAAAGTCGAGGTTTGGGGATGTGTTTATTATGCCAGTGGGTATCAACTGGGAGGATTGTGGAGCTAGTGGATTTGGTGGACTCAGAAGTGAACCTAGCTGGGTCCTAATACAACCTCTACTGCTTATTCACTAGAGATGAGGCTGGGGTAGTCTGGGTAATGTCACCAAGTCACTTTCTTATCTACAAAGTGAGATGACAGTATTAATTACAGCAAACATTCACTGAATACCAGGTTAGATATAGCATACTCTTTAAGCTCTTTGATAATATTTATATCTTATTTAATATTAATGAACCATCTGTCAATTTCAATAGTACTTCCCCCTTCACAACTTTGTGAGAATTTGAGACAGTAGTTCTGAGACCCTCAGCGGTGTGTCATCTTGCTTACAATCCCTCATTAGGAAAATCTACTGGTGACCATGTCATTAATAGTTTACAGGCTCTCTTTCCTTAATACTCCTCTTATACTTTAGGGGGAGGGTCATGTTGTATGCCCTCCCCACCATGCCCTGTGTCCATAGTCATGTTGGGGAAGAGACTGAAGAGTGCAGAGATGGCTGAATGCACCATATGAGAATGCCTCCCTCCTATCACATCTTTGCTTCTGTGGACTATTTCCTCTCCATCTGTGTTGTTACAGTGCAATCAATGAAAAGGACTACCCCTTCCATGAAGAATACTGAAGCTGCTTCACTTGATGAGACTGCCTGGTGGATTCCATCTTCATTGTGTGACAGTCACTCCTGAGTCCTATTTTAGCCAAGTGTGTCCAACATCAACCTTGATGTAGGCCCCGATCATGAAATGCTGAATTTAAATCCTCATGCTCAACCAGGAACAGACTGCCACAGGGAAATGTGACTCGGAGAAGCAAAGGACAATACTTTCCACCAGGAAGATCTGACCAAATCTTTGTTAAACACCAGGGACTCTGGTAACACTGAATATTAAAAAAAATAAATAAAGGGTGATAATAATAAGTCTTGTGGTGTGCTGTCTATTGCTGTGATAACCACCATGACCACCTCATAGAGGAAAGGGCTCATTTGTCTGACATAATCCAGTCACAGTCACATTATATATGGAAGTCGTGGCAGAAACAGAAGCAAGAAGTGGGAGGCAGGAACTGAAGCACAGACCATGAAGGTGTGCTGCTCACTGGCTTGCTCCACGGCTTATTCAGCTTGCTTTCTTATTAACCCAGCACTACCTGCCCATGGGTGAGGCCTGGGCCCTCCTACACCAATCAACCATTAACAAGGAAATGCCCTACACTACAGACATGTCCACAGACCATCTGATTGAGGTTCCCTCTTCCTAGGTGAGTTCCGGTTGTGTCAAGTTGACAAAACTCACCAGCAGTCACCAAAGTGTCCAACACAGTTTGAAGTGTTTTTTAATGAGTAAACTCACTGCATCCAAAATCTCACAATTCCCATTTTACAGAAGAGGAAATTGAGGTGTCAGGGAGCCAAGAACTTGATGAAGGCCCCAGGTAGTAGGTGCCTAAATCGACTTTCAAGGAAAGGTATTTTCAGGGAGATCGCAAGGCAATTTTTGATGCCCCCCCTCCTCCCAAGCCTTCTCCTGGCTCCTTCCCTCCACTCTCCCCTGTGACTTTCTCAATTCTTTGTCTTGTGGTTTTCCCACCCTGTCTGTAATATGCCATCGTGCCCGAGTTGCAGATGCTGGCAGCAGAGCCTGGGAAATCCACAAGGTGCCTCTGTTCATTGAGAAAGAGTGGCATCCTTGGTGTCTTACAAACCCAACACAGCTCACATCTTGTATCATTTGGTTTGAGTGCTTTAAAGACAAGAGAAAAGAAAGGAGGGAAGGAAGGAAAGAAGGAAGGAAGGAAAGAAGGAAGGAAGGAAGGAAGGAAGGAAGGAAGGAAGGAAGGAAGGAAGGAAGGCCACCAAGAACTAAGTGGTGACCAGTATGAACAAAAGTTCCTGGAAAGAGTCACATCTTCAGCTGAACCTTCTGCAAAACTGATTAAAGGATTTGAATTTCCATGATGTTGAAAGATCAGAATGTTGAAAGTCCAGAGCCAAATTACCTTGAGCCATCTTTAGTGGCCTTAATAGCCTTTAGTTACCTACCTCTGTTTGTGACCAGGATATTCAAGACAGGCAGCAGACATTGGGGGTGGGATGGCTCCCGTGATGGTTTTATAAAAACGCAAGTACAGAAAAGGAAGCAAGAAGACAGACAGAACTGTGGCTTTTTAGGACAGGGCAGAACTCCAGCAGTGCTGTGGACTAGGTGTGCCATACTTGAGTGAACCCAATAGAGCATCATGGGAAACCGACAGAACAATCTCAGCCTGCCAGCTCTCACGTCCCACTAACAGCAGAATGGGCACTTCCTATTGTTTGGTGTGGAGAAACCTACCTGCTTCTATGGTACACATTCATTTCATATATTAACGAAAAAATGGTAATTCCAAGTGGCAAAGATTGATCTCAGAAAAATAATCCTTTCCACAACCTTGCCTCCCTGCAAACAGGCAAACCAGTAGATGTTTCACTACAAAGCTCATAAGCAGGTTTGCAACAGACACTACCAGAGCTGAGACTCACTCCTTCCTGCTCCACTTCCTGTGCTGCTGTGCGCAAATGTGTCTGTCCTAGATTGTAAGACACCAAGCCATTTATTTGCAGTGGATGTGCATGGATAGGCGTGTCCATGCATGAGAAAGTGACTAGTAAACCAGTTTCCATGGTAGCCCCAGTGTCAACAACTTTGCCCTATCCAAAGACCTCAGGTCACCATGCCAAGCTCGCCCTACCTGTGCAAAGTGGTAGAATGCAGTTCTGGTACATTCTCCTTTACCTCATGCATTCTCCAAGAAAGAAGGCTCATATGAAAAGAGGAGAACTCATAGCTTCTCTGTGTGTAAATAGTTATTGCTCAGTCCAAATCCAGAGACTCCTGCAAGAGAAAATCTCAAGTCACAGCAAATATCTCACAAGTGGCTTAAAGTGGGTTTTCCTTAGTTCCCCTAATACCTGACTTTTCTGTGTTCCTCGGCTGTCAGGTAATAAAGGATGGCTTTAGTTTTAAAATTACTACTTGCACGCAGTGGCATCTTTCTTTTCATATCCCACTCTGATATGCCATGACCTACTTCATTTTAATTCAGTTGTGCTATGTGGAGGTTTTGAGGGGTGTCCCCTGACCCGCGGGACCCTTTACTTAGTCAGTGGGTGGCATCCAGCAATTGGGAACACAGATTCTCTGTGGAGCTCCTGACACCAACCTAGAGGCAACAAGGAGACAGGAGAGTACACAGGTTCCCAGCAATCTGGTGCCTCTGAAGTGAGTAATCGCCTGTCTGGGGACTTTACTGGAGCTTTGTGCCTCGGGGAGACAGCTTACGTGTGAGGCTGGGGTGCCATGGGAGCCTGCAGAGAGAAGCTGGAGGTTGGCTTCAGTCTGTCTTTAGGGTTCGCTGCCGACCTCCAGCGGCCAAGGGGCTGAAATCCAAGAACCACTCTCCCAGGTAGTGGTGGTTATGTCTCTACCTGGGGCGACCACCTTGCCGCCACCCGATTTCAGCTCCCACCCCCACCCCACCAGTCGCGCTCACCTCGGAGCCCGAGCATGCCGAGGGTACCGCGCCGGTCAGCGCATCCACCTTCCTGGTGCCCAGACCAGGGGTAGGTATCTCAAAGCGGTAGATGACCTCCTGAGTCTCAGTCACAAACCCCCACCAGCACATCCAGCTGCTGAAGCAAGGGAGCACATCTTTAAATAGCCCCTTGCAGAAAGGACTTCTGCGATTGGCCCGTGGCTGAGTGAAAGCGCCTTCTGATTGGTCACCGATGAGCTCCTCCACCTGGGCAGAGCTCAGTGTGCTAGGGTCCCAAGTCTGCAACCCAACTGGTAATAAAGATGAAGCCAGCTGCTCTAGTGTGGCCTGAGAGAACTGACAGAGGTAACTGGTCATCCAGGAAACAGAGTTGTAACACTTCTTGGAACTATAACACTCCTAGGCTTTCAGATGGCACCTTGCTGCTAAGAAGAGCTCCAATCCATTCCATTTGTCACTCCTGCATGTGATCTGTTTTTCTCACTTAAGGTTGTTGATCCTGAATTAACTATAAAGTGTCTCCCCTTTGAGCACTTTGCTGTCTGCCCACTTCGTTGTTGGGGAGGGCAAAACAAGAACCTGGTAGGAGATAGAATATAGTCCAAACATCAGTTGCCTCCTACAGAGATGCTGTCCCTGTCTGAACAAATGGGACCTGGTGCAACCACCATATTTACAAAAGACAGCAACTCCTGAAGTTCAGAAGCCCCAACAGATTCTTGTCATGGTTTGAATATAAATAAGCCCTGAAAGGCTCCTGTATTGAACTTAGCATTGCCGAGTGGTGTGAAGTTTTGAAGATATTGTCCAGTTGCAGGAAATAGGTAATTAGAATTATGCCCTAGAAAGCTATACCTTAAAAAAATAAATTTAGAGATTCATTTATTTATTTTATATATATCTATGTGTACACCTGCACACCAGAAGAGGGCATCAGATCCCATTATAGACGGTTGTGAGCCACCATGAGGTTACCTTGAACTCAGGACCTCTGGAAGAGCACCAGTGCTCTTAACCTCTGAGCCATCTCTCCAGTCCCCGGAAGCTCTACCTTTTAAGGATTTCTTTTCTGTTTCGTTTTTTTTTGCTTCATGGTCATTATGAAACAGCTTTCTATTCATGCTGTTACAACGATGGTACTCTGCTTCACTCTGGCAGCTAACACAGGAATCCATGGATGGAAAAATCTGGAACCATGAGCCAAAATATGTGTTTTATACTTTATTTTATTGTTTATTTATTGTCATGGTCTTGATGCAGGGTTTTTGGTGAATGACAAGCCCCATCTTACCCAAATGAGGATTGCCCAGAGTTCTAAGACGCCTGATCCTCAGAGTATCAAGGTTCCATTTGTAACAGAGGGTCCACGTTTGTTGTCTTAGGGCAGTTAGAGTGAAGATGGGGACTGTCTTGGGAGTAAGCCAAGGGGAAGCAGACTTTATTGCAAATTATTACAGGAGACTGGAGTAATGGCTCAGCAGTAAAGAGCACCAGCCGCTCTTCCAGAGGACCGTGGTGGTTTGATTCCCTACACTCACATGGCAGCTGTAACAACCATCTGTAACTCCTCTCCTGGTGATCCATACCCCTCTTCTGTCCTCCTCAGGCACTGCACACACATAGTCAAACAGACATACATGTGGGCAAACATTCACACACATAAAACAAATAAATCTCTTCAAAATTTTGAAAGAATTATTACAGAGCAGTGAGAAATTAAGGAAAACTGAAAATTAAGGAAAACTGGAACTCCCAAGAGAAGGAGGGTTTCCAACAGAAAAAAGGACACAGATATCATTTATCTAGGGTTTTTATAGGGCAAGGTATAGAAACAGATATGAGGCACAATTGTCCTTTCGTGTATCATTTCTTCTTCGGCAACTAAGTTCAACAGACTTCCATGTAAGGAAGCTGATCTCATAAAAGAGAGCAGAAGCTGCACAGAGCCTGCGGTGATCTCTACTGGGATTGGTTAATTCTCTTGGGCAAAGCCAATGGAGGGTCTGTGTGCTGTATGCATGACATCCTTATCCAAACAAGGAGATGATCATGCAATGTTCATGTGCTGCTAACCAAGTTAGGGTTGAAGCCTCCCTCCCATAATGCCCCTCCCCATTCATCTCTGACTCTATTTTTAACCTTTGGCTGTTACTCACTTGGCCAGTGTTACTACACTTTGACCTTGCGGGCTCCTTGGGTGCCATTCATTATACTGAGCTCTCTTGGTTCTCACATTTCCATGATTAACTTCTAGCTTTACTGTAGCATGAATCTTAAATGGTCTTATTAATAAAATCAAACCTGAGGCCAGTTATTGGGATAAACACTGGAAGGTCAGAGAAGCAGAACAAGCCACAGCTTCCTCACCTCACCAATTCCTCAGGTGATCCTGTTTCCTCAGACTGGATGCCTCTCAGCTGAACTGTGCTGCTCAAAAGCCTAAAAGCTTAACCAGCTCTAGTTCCTTGTCCTCACGCCTTAAAAACCTTTCTGCCTCCTGCCATTACTTCCTGGGATTAAAGGCTCACTTCTTGGGATTAAAGGCGTGAGTCACCATGCCTGGCTGTTTCCAGTGTGGCCTTGAACTCACAGATATCTGAATGGATCTCTGCCTCCCAAGTGATAGGATTAAAGGCATGTGTGCCACCATTTTCTGGCCTCTATATCTAGTGGCTGTTCTGTTCTCTGACCCCAGATAAGTTTATTAGGGTGTACAATATTTTGGGGAACACTATACCACCACACTTTACCATTACAGAATGTTATCTACGTCTCAGCCACCAAGGTGTAGCTGTGGTCTTCACGGTTCCCTCATATTTAGCTCCTTGTCTCCTGGGTGCTCTGGGGATATCTCCTAGATGGACGTTTCTTGTCAGTAGCCATCTTTACTTAACTAGGCTACAAGTAGTTTCATTAGAAACAAGGATATATGAAGGGGTTAATAGTTGCTGTGGAATATTGTTCTGTATACTATGAATGTGTGTTGCTCTGATTGGTTGATAAATAAAATGCTGATTGGCCAGTAGCCAGGTAGGAAGTATAAGTAGGATAAGCAGACAAGGAGAACTCTGGGAAGAGGAAGGCTGAGTCAGCAGTCGCCAGCCAGACACAGAGGAAGCAAGATAACAAGGCAGAACTGAGAAAAGGTACCAAGCCATGTGGATAACAAAAATAAGAATTATGGGTTAATTTAAGTGTAAGAGCTAGTCAGTAATAAGCCTGAGCTAATGGCCATACAGTTCATAATTAATATAAGCCTTTGTGTGTTTATTGGGGTCTGAGTGGCTGCAGACCAGGCAGGACACAGGAGAAAACTTCCAGCTACAAATAGTGTCTTCTAAAAATAGAATGTTAGGGGTTGGGGATTTAGCTCAGTGGTAGAGCACTTGCCTAGCAAGCACAAGGCCCTGGGTTTAGTCCTCAGCTCTGGAAATAAATAAATAAATAAATAAATAAAATAGAATGTTAACAGTTTAAATGACAATATAGCTATCTATAGCTATCTATCTATCTACTGATATCTATGATGTCTCCCAATAGAGAACCTTCTTTACTGCCTGTTTCCACACGATCTTTTTTTTTTCTTTGATAAATTGAAATGGGAATGTTAAAAGGGGTAAAATGAGACCACAACTCTCATTTCATTCTTTATCTGGATTCTTTATTCTCAACGTAGTATGTATTTCTAACAAAGTAAAGCTAATTATTTATACATATTTACCTGAAAGTCAGAAAGACAAATTTCTTAAAAATACAAGCCAAGAAGAGATTTGTGAGGCTATCATTGCTAGGTATCAGAAAATACCTAAGCAAAAGCAAAGGCAAAGCTCTTGTTGAACCTTCTGGATTTTTTCTTTAAAGCCACCATGGCTCTTAAAAAAACAAACAAACAAAAAAACTCAATAACTCTCTCCCGTCAAAAAGTGGTGTCTCTCTGCATTTCAGCTCTCCTTTTGTCCTGGTGATTTGTTTTGGCCAGGATAATGTAACAGCAAACACATACCACCAGCAGAGTCTCTGGGAAGCTACCCCTGGTGACCCTGTGAACAAGCTTAGTCAAGGTGAGCGTAGACCTCTTCAGAAGAGGGGTCCCAGCCTCCCCTCCCATCCCACCCCACTCAAAGATGATAGCAAGGCCAGATGCCACCAAGTTGAGCAGAGACAGACAGGCCAGCCAGTTCCATCCCTACAAAGTCGTCAGCAAATAAGTGACTTCTTACACAGAAATAGCTAACTAATTAAACCCAAGTTCCTGACAAAGGGCTTTGCTCTGACTCAGTTTTCCCGGTTCTGGAATAAATCTTGTCTTTACTGTGTCTACCACAGAGGATTTCTGAGTTCTGATTACTTGTCCCATCATGTCACTCACTGTGCAGGCACTACTCAGCAGACTTTGCACTGCAATCTAGTGGCCACTCGATTATGAGATATTTGTATAGGATTAACGTTGAGGTAATCATTTAACAAAGGATTAATGATGTGTATTAAGGTTTCCCAACTGTAGCTATAAAATATCATGCCTTTTAGCACCCGTGAATGGCATGATCATACACAGTCAAGAGGTTAAAATCTATGTCAAGATCCAACCAAAATCAACTTACAAATGAACCAGAATATGTAAAAGGCTAGAAAACAAAAGCAAGAAGAGAGAGACGTTTTATGCAGCACTGTATCCACTGGTAAGAGGCCCATCTTTCAGAAAATCATCTCCCACCCGTGCTCATCTGGGCAAACACAGTGGGTCAAAAACTAAGAAAATGGGGCTGGAGAGACGGCTCAGCGGTTAAGCCATCTTAAACTCTGACTGTTCATCCAGAGGTCCTGAGTTCAATTCCCAGCAACCACATGGTGGCTCAGCCATCTATAGTGGGATCTGATGCCCTCTTCTAGTGTATAGGCATACATGCAAATAGAGCACTCATATACATAAATTAAATATGTTATCATCTTTACTATTTTCTACAGAGAAAATATTTTTCCAGTTTCAAATAACTCTGGACTTTAGAATTATAACCTGTTTTTATGTTCAAAAAAAAACCCCATTTAAGTGGAAAATGCTGAAGGACCACTGAACTCGATGTTGTAGTTACATATCTATATCTGTATAAAATAATGATTATAAATATTTGTTTAAAAGGGTGAAGTGCAAATGTGAA